CTCGGTCAATGTAAAAATTTTACTGAATTTCGAAGGAAATGTTGTCCAAAATGTACATTAAAAGGCATAGAGTAAATTGAAATACAGGGTAAAATGAAGAATTTGCGCTTAATTTTTTCAAAAAAAAGTGCCAATCATAAACACTATAAAAGAAGTTTTTAAATACGAGCAGATGGTTGAAGTGTATATAGGTCGCAATTAATTGCCCGCCCGAAGATTTTTTTAAATGAAGATGTAACACTTTTCGGAAAAATGTTTCAGTTTTTCCGATTTTTTGTTTGGGCGATTATTTAGAGGTAAGCAAGTTACCAGGTTCAGTTTTCTGACTTTTTTTATGCCAAAAAACCTGCAGCATCCTAATAGTTCATGTAATTACACATTTTTCTTCAAACAAAATAGCAAAAAGATCTTTTAAGATGCAACTAATTTGGCCATTTTTTTCTATCTTAATCTAGTTTTTGATTTTTTTATAATGTGAGTTTTGGTTCTCCGCGTTTGATAGAGAATCAGGTGAACAGTGTTACGCAATTGAAAGTAGTTTAAGTGGTTGTAAACAGGTCCCTGGTACGTATTGAGCTCTCTCCCAACCGCCGAAATTGGGTTGGGGGAGATTGTTCAATTGATCTGCTTTAGGTGCATCTATTTTTTTTTTGAAATTTGAAAGTTGAATATATTAAAGGCTAGTTCATTCATTTACTCTGATAGTTTAATCGGAGTAAGAAAATATACAATTTATTCACTTTGGCCTGTTAAAATATTAGTAAATGCAAATGCTAACAAAAAGATTCAAAAGTTTGTTTCGAAATACTAAGTTTTTTGTGTATAATCAATTGACCAATCCAAGTTTTTCAACACCTAGTTAAACCAATTGATAAATAAATGCTCATTTTAGACATCACTGAGATTTTTCAAAAAGAACTGGCAATTCGGGTGAAAAACTATATAGAAGTAAGATCTATCATTATTCGTATTCGAACCTGGTCTCGGGACCTCTTCGCCAAACAAAGGTTTGTTGACTTCGTTTCCCGAGTCGAGCTCGATGTTGATCTCGCCTCGACCACCAATAGTTTGACCAGACGAACTGTAAACCGAATCAGCGTAAGGTCGAACATCTGATTACCCATTTTAGAATGTTTTATGCCTTTCGGCTAACTGAAATAGGATAAAAGTTCTTTGACAACAAAAATAGATGACCTCCTGTATAACAAAAATAGAAACTTGAGAAAAAAATGGAGGAAACTAGAATTGGATCGAAATTTCAGTTAAACGTTTAACTGAGGTTATAATATGGCTATCGAATAATTTTGAATATCGAGTTGTGAGAAAATAGCAGTTTTGTTTGATTTGTGATTTCGGCTTTGTGAATTGTGATTTACGAAAGTTGAACCTGGGTTAATTTCGTGCGCTGTGGCGTAGTTGTTATGGATTTAAGAGTGATGGAATTTGAAGAGTTTAACTAATAATCAAATCCAACTGGGTCAATCCTGTGATTCTAACGCTTTATCTCTCAAGAATAACTTCGAAAACACCTCTGCTTGGGACTTGAACTTATGGCTTCAACGACGTTTCTTTAATAATCTTTCATCGATTAGGAATTTCTATTTTTGGCAGATAGTTTTGAGTGACTCATTACCTTTCAACTCACTAAAACAAATTTTGTCCTCTTACATTCGTTGCTGTAACATTCGTTTTATACCAATTTGCTATATTTATGCATGCTACGAGTACTGAACTTCGTTATTGAGACAAGAAGTTGGGCTGCGTTTTCGGGTGTTTATCACTTAGTAATGAATATTTTGAGTTCTCTTATATAGGTCTTGGTGATTTTTTTTTCAAGAAAAAGTCTTAAAATGCTCTAATAACTACAGATGTGCATTCATACATATTTATGAATGCACGTAAGTGTGTATGCACTTTTTGAAATCAATTCAAATTCATCTGTTCAACTTTCGGTTAATTGGCTTCTCCAAATACTAATGTGTAAATGCACTAAAAAAACGTGAGTGACTTTTAATTTTCGAGGTGGATTTAGTTTTTGCGTTTCTCAGGGGAATAAAGATTTTGTCTACTGATCCAGTTTTCTGAAATTGTGTTAGTTTTATCAAAAAATATATTATTTCTTTGAATTTTAGAAATTGAAGTTTTTCAAAAATCAAGTCAGTATATTTTGTTTCCTTGCTTTCATGGCTCCTTTCCAGCTGTTTATTTTTTTCTGTGCTTGCGTTTCTGGCTCTTTTCCAACTGTCTGTTGGCTATGTTTAGGGTAAGCTTGTGAAAAATGGAAAGTATTCTCGAATTTCAATAAGGTTTCAAGGCCATATGTTTTTCCTTCGCTATTGTTACAAGAATGCACGGGCAGTGTTTTCGGTTTTCATCAACAATATCGCTGTCGGCCTATTAAATTGTGATATTCTGTTTTTTTTTCGTATTATATTAATGTTCATTATTTTTCACTTGGGTATTTATGCACTTTTTGAGTTCAATTGAAATTCATCTGATGAAAGTGACGAAATTACGAAATTGGAAATGGCGCGAAAAAAACGTGAGCGATTTCTAGTTTCGAAAGTGCAATTTAACTTTTAGATTTCCAGCAAGATTTTCTCAAAAAAGTCAGTGTTTTTTTCATGTTTTCTTGCGTTCGTTACTCTTTTTCAATCTTCGATTGGCTGTGTTCATTTTTTGCGTCCAAATACCAGCTGAAAACCTGCGAGATGTACGAAGTATCTTTGTAATGTCTTACTTTGTGAGGAGAAGATCCGATTACTAAGTTTGTTTCTATTGAGCAGTTGGAACAATAACTTCAAAAAAATTTCACGGAAGCAAAAAATTTGGAAACTGTATTTTTTAAATACTTTAACAGAATATTTTTGAGTTTTCGGTTCGAGAGCTTGATTCACAACTGAATGGGCTGCAGCAAGATTGACGCTACACGCGATTTCTTTCATATTTTTTTGGGATGCATGAAATTGTAGGAAAATAATCATTCAATAAATCCATAATTACTTCCATAGTACTTACTTAAGCATGTGAGCGCGCTGATATTTTCTAATTTGCTTTATGTTATGCAACTTCTGCTTCGTCTTACTGTTGCTTATTTTCCGTGGCTTTTTTAAATGTCACGGTATTTAAGAAGAAACGAGTGTCTTCTAACAATCTATTTTTTAACCTTACTTAAGCTAATTATACTTGTTTTTGAAGTTTCAATTTCTCCGTCTCGCTATCCAAGAAATGTTCAAATTGTAAAAAAAACTCAAAGGGTTCTGATTACAGTGGCAGGGAACTTTTGAGCTGCGTTTACAGAAATCGGCTGCTTTTTTGAAATATAGCACAGGCTCGCTGCTGTGACGTCAGTTTAATATAATCTATCAGAGGAGAGTGACACCATCAATCTGTGTTCTCTATGAGCAAAAATTGCCGTGCAATTAAATGTCCTGTCATTCCGATGTAATTTCGTTTTATCGAATCGTTATAGCCAATCTGAATCGTTATAGGTTCCTTTTCGCACAAAGTCTAAGTCAAAATTAGCAGAAAATGATAATTAGTATTATAGCCAAATTTTGCTTTACAATTCGTGCAGACATAACATAAAAATTTATTATTAAAATTCGATGATCGTAGTTGCAATGATTTTTTTCACTTTGTTTTCAGGAAAAGTCTTAATTTTTGTACAAGCTCAAGTTAACTTTTTTGCGGTTTGACTTTTGATTTTGTTGAAGTTTATTTCCTGTTGTAAAAGGAACAGCTTAAGTAAACGTCACGAATTTAATTTTCAGATTGTCCGTCGGAATAAAAACTGATCTATTTTTCTCAATTACGTTAATTTAATCAAAAATCCTAAATTTTTCTAGAAATTCAAAGAGCTTAAAAGGCATCTTTTTTTCTTTGAAATTCATTTTTTTTCCTGTTTATTTGTCTGTTGGCTTTTTGGCGGTTCGGCTTTTAATTTCTGGGTGATTTACACATGGAAGACAACTTACCCTGCTCAATAACCATAGCGCACTTGGCACGAAAAATTGTTGATTCATATAGGTCCTTAAGTGGTGGATTATTGGTGGTGCGAATTCTCTGTGGAATCAGAAATGCCACTAGTCAGCCTATTTTTCTTGATTCCATCGATATTTATCCAATTTTCTGTTTTTTGAACAAAAGTTTGAATATCTAAATGTCTGTTTCAGTTGTTTTTGGATGAATTGTTTCTTTTTATGCGATGGTTATAGTGCTAGACAGATTTTACTCCTTCAATGTTACACTTGGTTGCTGGTTTTCCAGTTTTCATTCTTTCTTTTGCAACTGTCTTGTGGCTTTATTTTGATAATTTTTTTTACTGTTTGTGACGTGACAAAGAGTTAATTAGCATCTGGTGTTAATTTTTTTCAAAAATCGATGACCGTAATTCAGACTCTTCTATAGGTCGTGTTGATTTTTTCGAGGAAAAGTCTTTAAATGCTTTAATATTTAACAGACGTACATTCATACATATTAATGCATTTGTGAATGCTTCTAGGTAATATACACTATTTGAGTTGAGTGGAAAAGTTTTGCCTATTGATCCAGTTTTCTCACATTGGGTTAATTGTATCAGAAAAGGTTCGATTGTAAATTATTCGTGTGGCATATTTTTTCTTGGCATATATATATTTTTTGAAATTGTAAAGTTGAATTTTTTTCAGCAAGCAGGTCAGTTTTTTTCTGTTTCCTTGCTTTCATTGAATCTTTTCCTACTGTCTGTTGGCTATGTTGTGAAACTTTGCAAGATCAATAATTAACAGCAAAGAACAGAGCGTGAACCACTCGACCAAGTGTTAAATTTTCTCTTAATCAAGTGTTCATACAGTTCTACTACGAAAGATATAATAATTTTAACTCTGAGCTTTGAAGCATTTGTGGTAGTTATTTGTTTTCTTCAAATTAATTAATTCATAGTTTGAAATTGTTCTTGAATTGGTCAGTTAAGTTTTCTGAAATGGAATTTGCTAGGTATTTCACTCGACAAAGCCAACTTTGAAATCGAAAATTTTTAATTTATCGCTAAAAATATCACTGAATCAAATAATGATGGGGTAATATCACTAATAGCACAAAATCAGTCTAACGAGGGTAGTGTTTGGTTTTGTGTTCACTTTGATTTCATTCCTCGGACAAAGCTTCCATTGTGATTCTACGGTTGAAGGAACTGCTCACATCTTTCTTGTTGCCGAAGCTGTCCACTCGCAAAAGTGTAGTTCGACCTGAGTTCCAACGGAACAATTTTACTTCTGCGCCTAAAAATGAGAAAAAATACACTAAAATACTTCGAAGTCAATGCTGATATACAATTAATTGTCCCCCTAGTCCTGCCCCATCCCGTAGCAAAAGTTGAACTGTATCTCATAAACTATCCCTATTTCAATTTTGAGTTCGACTTGAATTCAATTTGGCATGTTTTAAACCATTTTTTAAGAGTCGATAAACCTAGTTCAGACTCTTATATAAGTCGTGATAGTTTTTTTCCCGATTTTTTAAGAGGAATGTCTTAAAGTTTCTTCAGGCTCAAATCAAATTTGCTTTTGCGGTTTGACTTTTGATTTCTTTCAAAGTTCAGTTCATTTCTCTTGTTAAAAGGAAGGCAAACTCCACTATCGAATAGCAAAATCACGAAAGTGTTAAGGTCACGAAAAACGTGATCGACTTCTAGTTTCAACTAGTGGACAAAATTAAGCTCAAATTTAGGATTTTACTATATAAAATGCCTGCTTTCATTGTACATTTTCGTCAACATTTCCTTCGAACTTCAGTAAAATTTTTACATTGACCGAGAGTAAGTGATCTGAGCTACCATCTGTGAAAGTATCAATATTTGGTTTCAATGACTCCTCAATGTAATCCGGGTCTGAAAAGGCCAGTTTTCCTCGTCTGCACTAAGTTTTGCATCGTAGTGAAATCTTTCTTGAATAAGCGGAGTATAAATTTTGTTCATGCAACTTGAAACATTCTCAGCGAGAAAATGGGAAAAATCACTGTGAAATTTTACTAAACTCAGTTGTTTGGTTTTTATTCACGCGAATTTAAAAAAAAACTTTTTGCAGATGAGGAAAACTGGCATTTTCAGACCCGGATTACATTGGTAAGTCATTGAAACCAAATATTGATACTTTCACAATTGGTAGCTCTGATCATTTGCTCTCGGTCAATGTAAAAATTTTACTGAATATCGAAGGAAATGTTGTCCAAAATGTACATTAAAAGGCATAGAGTAAATTGAAATACAGGGTAAAATGAAGAATTTGCGCTTAATTTTTTCAAAAAAAAGTGCCAATCATAAACACTATAAAAGAAGTTTTTAAATACGAGCAGATGGTTGAAGTGTATATAGGTCGCAATTAATTGCCCGCCCGAAGATTTTTTTTAATGAAGATGTAACAATTTTCGGAAAAATGTTTCAGTTTTTCCGATTTTTTGTTTGGGCGATTATTTCGAGGTAAGCAAGTTACCAGGTTCAGTTTTCTGGCTTTTTTATGCCAAAAAACCTGCAGCATCCTAATAGTTCATGTAACTACACATTTTTCTTCAAACAAAATAGCAAAACGATCTTTTAAGATGCAACTAATTTGGCCATTTTTTAGATCTAAATCTAGTTTTTGATTTTTTTATGTGAGTTTTTGTTCTTTCCGTTTGATAGAGAATCAGGTGAACAGTGTTACGCAATTGAAAGTAGTTTAAGTGGTTGTAAACAGGTCCCAGGTACGTATTGAGCTCTCTCCCAACCGCCGAAGCCGAAATTGGGTTGGGGGAGATTGTTCAATTGATCCGCTTTAGGTGCATCTATTTTTTGTTGAAATTTGAAAGTTGAATATATTAAAGGCTAGTTCATTCATTTACTCTGATAATTCAATCGGAGTAAGAAAATATACAATTTATTCACTTTGGCCTGTTAAAATATTAGTAAATGCAAATGCTAACAAAAAGATTCAAAAGTTTGTTTCGAAATACTAAGTTTTTTGTGTATAATCAATTGACCAATCCAAGTTTTTCAACACCTATTTAAACCAATTGATAAATAAATGCTCATTTTAGACATCACTGAGATTTTTCAAAAAGAACTGGCAATTCGGGTGAAAAACTATATAGAAGTAAGATCTATCATTATTCGTATTCGAACCTGGTCTCGGGACCTCTTCGCCAAACAAAGGTTTGTTGACTTCGTTTCCCGAGTCGAGCTCGATGTTGATCTCGCCTCGACCACCAATAGTTTGACCAGACGAACTGTAAACCGAATCAGCGTAAGGTCGAACATCTGACATCTGATTACCCATTTTAGAATGTTTTATGCCTTTCGGCTAGCTGAAATAGGATAAAAGTTCTTTGACAACACAAATAGATGACCTCTTGGATAACAAAAATAGAAACTTCAGAAAAAAATGAAGGAAACTAGAATTGGATCGAAATTTCAGTTAAACTTTTAACTGAGGTAATAATATGGCTATCGAATACTATTGAATATCGAGTTGTGAGAAAATAGCAGTTTTGTTTGATTTGTGATTTCAGCTTTGTGAATTGTGATTTACGAAAGTTGAACTTGGGTTAATTTCGTGCGCTGTGGCGTAGTTGTTATGGATTTAAGAGTGATGGTATTTGAAGAGTTTAACTAATAATCATATCGAACTGGGTCAAGCCTGTGATTCTAACGCTTTATCTCTCAAGAATAACTTCGAAAACACCTCTGCTTGGGACTTGAACGTATGGCTTCAACGACGTTTCTTTAATAATCTTTCATCGATTAGGAATTTCTATTTTTGGCAGATAGTTTTGAGTGACTCATTACCTTTCAACTCACTAAAACAAATTTTGTCCTCTAACATTCGTTGCTGTAACATTCGTTTTATACCAATTTGCTATATTTATGCATGCTAAGAGTACTGAACTTCGTTATTGAGACAAGAAGTTGGGCTGCGTTTTCGGGTGTTTATCACTTAGTAATGAATATTTTGAGTTCTCTTATATAGGTCTTGATGATTTTTTTTTTCAAGAAAAAGTCTTAAAATGCTCTAATAACTACAGATGTGCATTCATACATATTAATGAATTTATGAATGCACGTAAGTGTGTATGCACTTTTTGAAATCAATTCAAATTCATCTGTTCAAACTTCGGTTAATTGCCTTCTCCAAATACTAATGTGTAAATAGCACAAAAAAACGTGAGCGACTTATAGTTTTCGAGGTGGATTTCGTTTTGGGTTTCTTTTTATTTTCAAAAAACAAGTCAGTATATTTTGTTTCCTTGCTTTCATGGCTCCTTTCCAGCTGTTTATTTTTTTTTTATTTGCTTGCGTTCATGGCCCTTTCCCAACTGTCTGTTGGCTATGTTTAGGGTAAGCTTGTGAAAAATGGAAAGTATTCTCGAATTTCAATAAGGTATCAAGGCCATATGTTTTTCCTTCGCAATTGTTACAAGAATGCACTGGCAGTGTGACACTTTCGGTCTGCTTTGTTTTCGGTTTTCATAAACAATATCGCTGTCGACCTAGTAAATTGTGATATTCTGTTTTTTTTCTTAGTATATTAATGTTCATTATTTTTCACTTGGGTATATATGCACTTTTTGAGTTCAATTGAAATTCATCTGCTGAAAGTGACGTAATTACGAACTTGGAAATGGCGCGAAAAAAACGTGAATGATTTCTAGTTGCGAAAGTGCATTTTAACTTTTAGATTTCCAGCAAGATTTTCTCAACAAAGTCAGTGTTTTTTTTTCATGTTTTCTTGCGTTCATTACTCTTTTTCAATCTTCGATTGGCTGTGTTCATTTTTTGCAGTCCAAATATCAGCTGAAAAGCTGCGACATGTACGAAGTATCTTTGTAATGTCTTACTTTGTGAGGAGAAGATTCGATTACTAAGTTTGTTTCTATTTAGCAGTTGGGACAATAACTTCAAAAAAATTTCACGGAAGCAAAAAATTTGGAAGCTGTATTTTTTAAATACTTTAACAGAATATTTTTGAGTTTTCGGTTCGAGAGCTTGATTCACGACTGAATGTGCTGCAGCACGATCGACGCTACACGCGATTTCTTTCATATTTTTTTCTGGGGTGCATGAAATTGTAGGAAAATAATCATTAAATAAATCCATAATTACTTCCATAGTACTTACTTAAGCATGTGAGCGCGCTGATATTTTCTATTTTGCTACATGTTATGCAACTTCTGCTTCGTCTTTCTGTTGCTTATTTTCCGTGGCACTTTTAAATGTCACGGTATTTCAGAAGAAACGAGTGTCTTCTAACAATCGATTTTTTAACCTTACTTAAGCTAATTATACTTGTTTTTGAAGTTTCAATTTCTCCATCTCGCTATCCAAGAAATGTTCAAATTGCAAAAAAACTCAAAGGGTTCTGATTACAGTGGCAGGGATCTTTTGAGCTGTGTTTACAGAAATCGGCTGCTTTTTTGAAATATAGCACAGGCTCGCTGCTGTGACGTCAGTTTAATATAATATATCAGAGGAGAGTGACACCATCAATTTTCGTTGTTGCTGCTTAGCTACCAATTCGGTCTTATTTCAACTGTGCCTTGCTTTTAATTGTAGGAAAGAGACTTGGATCCCCGGGCACCCCAGCAATGGAGTTTTATAATCTTCATTCGTTCCTGGCAAGTTGAAATTATTCTGCGCTTGCTTAATATCAATCGTATGCGCTCGGAAATTACTTTTTCAAATTAAACTTTCCTTTCGCTGTAATTCGATGAATTCGAACTGAACTTACTTGAAGTAGCATTTTTGTACATTTGCCTTCTGACTTACCTGCTGATTGTGCTGACAGTTTCAGTAAGTAGTGGATTTAGACAAGAGTGTGTCTAGGATTTTGTCGATCTTTAATGGGAGCTCTTATGGAATCCTCAAAAGACGTTAATTTGCCAACAGATTTGAGGCAAGCTAATTGTTGAAAAAATGACATTTTGGGCCATTTTTTTCTTTCATTTTTTGACTGATAAGTTCGTTTTTTTTCTGAGCAATCCCCTCAAATATAGTTTTTATTTGCACCAAAAGCGCTCAAAAAAATTTAAAGTGTCCATCGTCAACCAAAATTTCTGCCGTAAAAATTTACCTACATCCGCCACGTTTAGACGAAAAAAGCCTGCATAAGGCTTTGAGTTGGACAGGTTGGCAAACCAAAGTTGTCTACCCAAGTAAGTTCGATTTTTATTTTGTTACTAGTCTAGGCTGGAAGGATCTAGATCTTTATGGAACTTGTAGTGTATGATTATTACCTGGTCATTACACTTGCGAGCGTTAGTGTGTTAGTGCGAATCTTTTTTTTCTAAACTAGCTCGCAAATAAAAGTGTTCCTTAAAAGTGTTCACTTATTTGGTGGCACTTTCACAATAATCACGGTCTGTAGCGTTGGAAATTTCATAGCATCTGTTCTCTGGTTTATTTGTGGCTAGTTTTTGCGATTAAGTAAGCGTCCGTTGCGTAGTTGCAGATCGAATCCGATACGTAGCCGAATTTTTACTAATTCGAGGCTTATTTCTACTTTTTTTTGCCCTTTATAGATCTGCTTTTTGTCGTGTTCTTGCTAGTGTTTGTGAAGCGCAGCTTTGCCTCAGTGTAGATAAATAGAGCAAAGACAGGATCTCTTTGAATTTTCTTACTTTCCGTTTTTGTGTAAAAGAAAAAGGATTTCTTATTTAGATTGTAGCTTAACTTTCTTAAGTTCTTTATAAAGCCAATAATACAATATGGTTTGCTCGTCTATGTTGACAAGAGTTTTGCTCTTTTTTAAAATCAAATTTTTAATGTTTCAGCGAAAATTATTCGCGTGGTTCGTTTCAAAAAGAAATATGGTTCAAATACACCATTTTTTTAACTACAAAATACTAACAGTGCTTGAATTATGTGTACAATTAAATACAATATAGTTTCAAATCGTTGAAGCAAAGTCTTTCCACGAAGTTTCTGTGTTCTTTGTTCTCTATAATAAGTCTTGCATATAAAACAAGAATTTCAAAATATACAACATTCATTCTCCCATTTTGTAAAAATAAAATGAGAACTGTTCATTAACTAACAGAGGAGCGAACTTGCTGAGTGAGATGAGTGGAAGCGATCGGTTGCCGAACAGTATTGGAAAAATTTCAGTGACTGAAGAAATTATTTTCTTTCATAAACTCAACAACTTTTAGCGCATTTCACTGCTAATTTAGCGCATTTCACTGCTAATTTTTCATTAGTGAAGATGGGAATGTCCAAACGCTAATTTTATCCTCTATTTCTTTACCTTTCCATTCTGATAATAATTCGCATTTTCAAAAAAGAATGGAATAAATCGATTTTGTTGTTTTCTTTTTTGTTAATCCATTAGTTATTGAAGTTATTAAGACATCGTATATTATTATCCATAATAGTTTGACCTAAGCGCAAGCTACGGAATTTTGTTACATCTCCAGAAATAATAAAAAACGACATCAAAAAATTCGAATTTTGTTTTTGTGAGTATTGTTTTTGTTCTAATATTAATTCTAATGAAATTTTTTGTATTGCAGGTAGAGCTTAAGTAGGCGCGCAATTCGCCTTTTGTCTATACTTTCTATTTTCATTTACTGAATTGAATGGTTTAATATCAATTGTTTATATTTAGTTGAAAATAATTTGATGATTGTAGTTGTTTCAACATAATTTTGGATAAATAAATTTTTCTTTGGATATTTATTTTTTATTTGATTGAATGTGAATAGTTTTCCTGCAAATTGAAAAATTTTAGAGTTTTTCTATGAAATTCTCCATTGAATTTCACCAGTTTTAAACTAGTGTTTTTTGTATAACTGTGTTCACAATGAGCAAAAATTGCCGTGCAATTAAATGTCCCGTCATTCCGATGTCATTTCATTTTATCGAATTGTTATAGCCAATCTGAATCGTTATAGGTTCCTTTTCGCACAAAGTCTCTGTCAAAATTAGCAGAAAATGATAATTAGTATTATAGCCAAATTTTGCTTTACAATTCGTGCAGACATAACAAAGAATTTTTTTTTGTCTTTCAATTTTATTATAATTCGATAATCGTAGTTCAGAATCTTAAATAGGTCGCAATGATTTTTTTCATTTTGTTCTCAGGAAAAGTGTTAATTTTTGTTCAAGCTCAAGTTAACTTTTTTGCGGTTTGACTTTTGATTTTGTTGAAGTTCAGTTCATTTTCTGTTGTAAAAGGAACAGCTTAAGTAAACGTCACGAATTTAATTTTCAGATTTTCCGTCGGAATAAAACTGATCTTTTTTTTCAATTTAGGTTAATTTAATCAAAAATCTTAAGTTTTCCTAGAAATTCAAAGAGCTTAAAAGGTATCTTTTTTTCTTTGAAATTCAATTTTTTTTCTTGGGTCCTTAAGTGGTGGATTATTGGTGTTGCGAATTCTCTGTGGAATCAGAAATGCCACTAGTCAGCCTATTTTTCTTGATTCCATCGAAATTTATCCAATTTTCTGTTTTTTGAACAAAAGTTTGAATATCTAAATGTCTGTTTCAGTTTTTTGAGGAAAAGTTCGAATGTAGTTCAAGCTCGTTATTTTGAAATTGATTCTCCCACCGAGCTCCATTTACATTCTTCAATAACGAAAATAGTACTTTAAAGTGTAGTTCAAATCCGAGAGTCATCTTTTGTTATAGATTGGTACATCAGCGAATTGCAGGTTTTAAGCTTTCCTAAAGATTTTTTTGTCCCTAACTCTTGCGTAGAATTGCCTTAACAATGGCGTAAATTTCTTTTTCCCCCAATTGAACGATTTCATAGAGTTCAAATGTCTAAAGTGTTAACTGTGTTAGCATTTAAAGCCATTCCAGTCATGATTCGATTCCAAATTTCTACCTCAGTCGTTGAAAAAGTTTGCCTCCATTTGAATCATTACAGACTACATGTCATTACACAAGCATATAGTATGAACTATCTTTTTTTCAACCTAAGTCGCAAATATTGTTGCGACGCAAATATTGTTGCGACAAAATGTGCTCATTTTGAAAGTGTTCATTTTGATCAATAACCAGCTATTAAGTACAACCAATGCTAAGGATATTAACAAAGACTATTATATTACAAAAAGCACCTTAGCTTTCAGGCATCATGGATCTGTAGCGTAGAGGTAGGGAAGGAGACCAGCAACACTATAAGAGGGTATGAACCTGGGCAGGGTCGGATGTTTTTTATGATTTTTTTTCGTATACTAGCTAAAATGCGTCCGCTCTATGAATTGAGGCATGTTAGTTGGTGAATTCCTGTTTGATTAAAACAGGTATTATGAAAATGTATGGGATTGGGTTTTTTTGGCTCTTTGGAAAAATTTTCCACTTTTCAAAAATTAGTTTTTCTCGAAAACGACTCTATCGATTTTCAAAAAAGTAATACCAATGGGAATTCCGCCTACTCCCCTGTGTGCCTGCATAATCTCCTAGTCTCTTTTAACCTTACTCCACTTCCTACAGCCTTCGAAAAAGTGTGTGTGGGATTTTTGACTCATTTTTTTTGGATTTTATACATTTTCTGGAAAACTACCCTACAAAATCTGTGGGAAGCTCTTCTGCATAAGCGGTGACGCCCATTTTTTTGGCACAAAAAGTTGTGGCTCTCGTAAATGTCGAATTTTTGATTTTTCTTACCTTTTTTAAAACTGTGAAGTTTTGGTTTTATTGGGTAGAACAGCTTGTGGGAGTTTCGCCTGCATAAGCGGTGACGCCCAATTTTTTTTGACAAACAGTCTGTGTAAAATTGATGCGATACTGAACTCGCAAGCTGGTTCTGCTGCGAACTAAAGATTGTTTTCGATAAAATAAACTCTCATTCTCGAAGTTTGCCGTTTACAGAAAAAAAAAACTATAAAAAATGCCGTTTTTTTAATATCTTTTCTCTTTTTTCCTGATTTCTCTATTTCTTAATTTAAATCCTTATAATTGGGCATACTAGTATTTATTGAACAGCAACTGGCTATCCTTCATGTGGCTCTGAATGTTTTCACTTATTTAGAAGTGTTTTTATTACAGTCGTGAAGTCTTATAATTTAGTTAGCTTACGCTTAAGTACTAGCCAAAGTACTTTCTACAATAGCATAAGTGAAAATGACGCGATTAAGTAAAAGATTTAAATTATTTATTTTGTTTTAAAAAGTGACTGTTCTCGAAATAATTTTTAACTTAATTTAGTCCCGTGGTTTTTTCAAGATTTTTTTAAAAATTTTATGCGAAAAAAATTGGAGAAGTCGTTTTTTTTTGCTTCCTGATTTCGCGACAGTTATCCATTTTTTGCTTGTCTTCTTACCATTTATTTCTCTTTGCTCAAATGTGTCTTCAACTGCTCTAGACTCAAATGCAGTGACAGCTGTGAATGAGGTTGGAAGCGAGAGTAAGAGGGGATCAGAAGAAGGAGACTGCGTGGATCTACTACTGATCGAAGGCATGTCTTTGAATGACCCAATGATGATGCTGCGAAATGACAAGGAAAACATTGAGAAATTGTGTCTGTCAATGAGACGACAAATCATGGCCAGAGCTTTCTACGGGTGTAAGTGTGTCTAAAACAAATTGGATATCTTGAAATATTCCCCGAATCGATTGTTGTCGCGAGTCGATAAATCGTTATAGGTTTCGATCTGAAACAGATAATCTTTCGTTACAATCAATATTTGACCTGTTTCAAAAAGGGATTGATCTTAATTTTGATTGTGAAACTCCCAGATACCCCAGTAAAATCACGTGTTTAATGGCCAAGATTTTGATCAATTATTCTTTTTTTTTTTGCTGGAAATTCGACTTAATAAAAATGATTAAAATGGAAGGTTTTCTGAGCCAATTGGGGTTAATAAAATAGTTCTAGTAATTCAATTTTCTGAAAAGTTTGGCAATCCGTATTCAGGTTCTACTAGAACTTCTCCCCCTCGTTCTTTCATAAGATGACATCTCCCAATTGTCGATATGGCACTCAACTGCTACAGCATTGTCGATCATCGAGTTTTTTTTACCAATGAGGGCTTTAATCAACAAAGGCCACTGAATAAAAAAAGTTCTGACAAGTTTATAGGGATTATCTATTAACTTGTACGCATATGTGTCCCATAAAGACCATCCACAATTTGTTCAGTTTTTACGTACCATTTTTGCCCTTTAAGTTAAATGACCACCGTTTGCGGACAATTTTCACCATTTTGTTCATTCGTGCAATTTAGATTTGTCCTCCTGCTTTTAACGAGCTATATAACCAATTACACTACCTTTTTATGTCACGATGCCCTGTTTCTCTGGCGTCGAAAGCAGTTCTCGCCAGTTCTCCTCGTTAAACAAGGAATTCGATACTGACTCCCGAATCAAAATGGATAACACACCCCTTCCTCTAGAGAATCTTTCCAAAATAGTTACTGTTATCTTTGATCCATCCCATTACTCCGCAGAGTACTGTTAACGAACATCATCAAAAGGCTCGCGTAGGATATCGATAATAAGGGTTGTCTCGAACAAATTGGTGTCAGTCCAAAGTTACTGGTTACTGGCTTTCTAAAGTTACGCTTGCTTTTTATGGTCCCACACCGCTAGTAAAATGTCTACACGCAAACTCCAAACGTTAGAAACCCCGCTCTCCGCGCAATAACGGGATGCATAAAAACGAGGGCTCCAGTACAGCCACATTCTGATGGTGATTTGTCTAATGTCATCCACCGCTAATGTTACCCTTAAAACTTACATTTCTTGAAACCCCCAAACTTTTTCCATCATCATCCGAAACCTCAGAGGATTATTCTCCCGCCAGGACTAGAGCTCTGTAGTACCGAAATATAATGGGCCTCGGCGACCCAGCAAATGCATCTTTTAAGAATTAACTACGTCTAAGAACTTTTGCCTCTCACATCACAAATTAAAGTCATTTTAAAACAACTTCAAGCTGTGTCAAGCAAGCAATTGCTGATGGTCATTCCCCAAAGTGTTTCCCTCAACTCCCCCCCCCCATATCTCTGTTTTCCATAAGAATCCCGATCGATCTGCACCAGAAGAGCCTTTCCCATTTATGGTTCGGTTAGAGTCACTTCCTAAACTGCTACTTAAACCAAATTGATCCGAATGTCTCACCAAATTTTCTTCCCCACACACCATCTCACACCTTTTTAACTGTTCCGAGATAGATCATTTTTTAAAAACTCATAGACTTGTGGCTTCGAGTGACCGATGTTGCTAAGTTTACGGGACTTGGTCTGAGCATGTTCGATGCGCCCTCTCGTGGCTAACATTAAAATGTGTGCTCATGCTCAATTCATGAGAAAAAATTGCTAAATGTAACCAGATAGTGCTTAGTTGGATTTATTCATTCCTCTAGCTGTTAATATTTTTGATAAGTTTCTGTTTCAGGGCTGACTTATGTGCGTCATCTGAAGACAGTGCGAGTACATCTATCTGGTCTGGTATCAGCAGCCCCTTCAACCTCCACATTTTCACAGACCAGTTCTGCTTCACAAATCCACACCAACACAACAGAGATGCAGAAACAGCCTGTCAGAGAGAGGAAAGTGTCAGAGTCGGAGGCTGCTCAGAAAAAGTGGCTACATGACCTGGCAATGTATAAAGGAGGACTGACGGTGCAAATGTGGAACGAATGGGATTCGGAGCATAAGGTATAAGTATGCAAACGAGCAGACCATGTTTACGGCTTCTTAAAAACGGTAAAATGCTCTTATAGTTTCAAGCCACGAGGTGTTCGGCAATGTGTAAAAATATTTGGTGTTGCTATTTTTGCCTGCCCTAAAATACTTCCCAAGATATCAAGCTGTCTGTTTTTTCAACTGACCCGATTTTGGCTCTTTTCAGCTTTCCCGTCCTTTGAATATCAATTTTGAAGAATTACGTTAACATTGTCAGAATGCAATGAAACTTGGCACAGTGAACAAACTAACCATTGTGAACAAATTTAAAAAAAAATTATTTTACATCTATAAAATATGAAAGTTTGAAAGGTGGAGGGGAGTGGAAACTAGCAGATTCTTAATTCGTGATAAAAGAGAACATAGAATTACAAAATAAAACATAGAATTTTTTTTCTAAATGCTTTTATTATCTCAAATTTCATTCCTCAGTTTCTCTGTTTTCAGCTGGGGAGCAATTGTGGTGAAATCTTGAGGTATGTCTACTATGGGGGCATGGAGCACACTTTGAGGTCCATAGTATGGCTGTACCTTCTGGGCCATTATCCTCTGGACGACTTGAAAGGCACCAAAGAGCAGCGCAGTTCAATTGACTCAGCCACTGCAGAGAAATACGCACAAGTGGTGACTGAGTGGCAAATAGCTGAAGTAGAATTCAATGATGCCAAAACCAAGTGAGAAACAATTCGAACAACTTATTAAATTATTGTTTGGCTTTTTTGCCTTTCCCCACCTGCGAATTTCAACTGAAAAACTTTTTGTTCACTTTGTTGGATTGTTTTAATGTAACAGATTGTAGTAACTATATACCTATATACGCTTATTGATGGCTAACCTTGATGTTTGGCAAACTGATTGCAAAAATGTTGATTGGTTTAGCCTTTAGACTCTTCTCACTATTAGCGAGATAGTTCACAAGACTAGAGTCCTAAGTGGAGTTGCATACAGATTACACTAACTTTCTGCCTGGGTAATCATTTGCCATATGACATGGAGCAACCAGTAGATCAGAACATCTAAATGAACATACAGCTCTTCTGGACGAAGGCAAAGCAAGAGTCACTTTTGGAGTGGACGTAATAGCGATCGATAGTGCAATCAGCAATATTCGTTACAGAGACCACAAATCTCCCAGATTTATTCTACGTAAAACCGGCAAGAACGTGTTCTACAGAGCCGGTATACAAGAACAAATTAACTAGTAAAACCAGTCCGCAGAGAGAGACAGGAAATCAGCACAAATGATTACAATGGGAAAACAAAAAACTGGAAGTGGACAAAACAGGCGTTGCGTCGAAACATGCCTCGGGACGCAGCGGACCCGAAAACGAAGGATGATTTATTTCCATGTTTAGAAGTAGAAGCCTAACGACAGTTTCGACGAAAAACCAAACTTTATAAATACGTTACAATGATGGGAACTAGTGGGAAAAAATAATTGACGGGAATTGTTGCGTTCGAGAGATACAATTTCATCTGTAGACAACAGCAAAAACAGGTTTAAAACTTCATGCAAAACCAGTGGACTTGACGTGCAAAGTGTATTACGTACGTAGACAAAGAAGCGGAATGGGCATAGGTCGAGAAGAGGCAGCGGTGGTTCATCATCACAACCAACAGGCCTCCACAAAACAACCGAAAGAATTAAGAACCAGTGGGATATATCTGCAACAACAATAGAATAGAAGTTTCCCTAATTGAGGAAGAAACAGCCAGAAATACGGAATTTAAAGAGGACAAAACCAACACGTCTGAAAACGGAAGAGCAAAAGTCTTGATTTATTGTATAGCATCATTAAGGTCAAGACGAAGGAGAAATGGCTGTGGCTATTGAGGACTCACTTAGCCCAGCATCAATCCTAATTGAGGGAACTGCAAACAGTCAACTGTGAAGCAAACCGAATGCTAAGTAGGAGACAACTGAAAAAGGCTGCATTTTACCACGGTGCATGTAACAACCTAGCATGTTACAACGGGGAAACGATATGAACCATGAGTAGATTAATTATTCCTATTGAATCCGTTGGGTGGCCGATGAAACGAATGCACCGTTGATAGCAATAGACCAGAAAAAAGCACATAGTAAGAAGATCGGTTCTGCTACAACTGGAGTTTCACCAGAGGCAGATGGCTCCGCTTACCTATAACACAATAGCGAAAATTTTTGAAAAATTTTAATCAGATGAGACTTGAACTAATTGGGTAACTGAAACCGCACAGGCATAGGTTGATTGAAACCTCACGTAGTCAAAATGGACTCACAAGAGATTTCATTTCAGTACATCAAAAGGGAAGAGGATTCACAAAACTTCAACAGGAACTACAGGAAAGGGTGTTATGCATGTCCTGTTTTGTTTAAAAGTCGACGAACGTAGTGGAGAATCTCGTATAGAACGAGATGATTTTTTTCGAGTTGTTGAATTTGATATTTTACTCTTTTTTGTTCAGTTTATTTCTTTTGTTAAAAGGAAGGCAAACTCCACTATCGAACTGCAAAACTGTAAAGGTCACAAAAAAACGTGATGAATTTCTAGTTTTGAATGAGGATTTTTTTTAGATTTCCCAGCGGAATCAAAACTTTTCCTATTGATTCAGTTTTCTCACGTTAAGTTATTTTTTAATCATAAAAATTGTCAATCATAAGTTCTTAAATTCAAGCAGAATTAAGGCCATTTTTATACAATTTGAAATTTTTTCAAAAACTAGTGCTTTTTTTCTGTTTCATAGCGTTCATTGTCTCTTTTCCAACCTTCTTTTGGCGGTATATGTTTATATACATTGGCGTGAACCTACGTGAGAAGCAAACGAAGGGGTCTCTATAATGCTGTTTCCGTCAAAACTTTTGGTCAAAAATTTTAAATTCATTTGCTTTCTGATTTTTGCCTGTGGATTAAAAATGGTCTTTTAACGTCCGTGAATTTTTTTAGACCAACAACAGTCAGCAGTTGTAGCGGTTCAACCGCGGGTTCTACCTCACCCGCTTACCTATAACACAATAGCGAAAATTTTCGAAAAATTTTAATCAGATGAGACTTGAACTAATTGGGTAACTGAAACCGCACAGGCATAGGTTGATTGAAACCTCACGAAGTCAAAATGGACTCACAAGAGATTTCATTTCAGTACATCAAAAGGGAAGAGGATTCACAAAACTTCAACAGGAACTACAGGAAAGGGTGTTATGGATGTCCTGTTTTGTTTAAAAGTCGACGAACGTAGTGGAGAATCTCGTATAGAACGAGATGATTTTTTTCGAGTTGTTGAATTTGATATTTTACTCTTTTTTGTTCAGTTTATTTCTTTTGTTAAAAGGAAGGCAAACTCCACTATCGAACTGCAAAACTGTAAAGGTCACAAAAAAACGTGATGAATTTCCAGTTTTGAATGAGGATTTTTTTTAGATTTCCCAGCGGAATCAAAACTTTTCCTATTGATTCAGTTTTCTCACGTTAAGTTATTTTTTAATCATAAAAATTGTCAATCATAAGTTCTTAAATTCAAGCAGAATTAAGGCCATTTTTATACAATTTGAAATTTTTTCAAAAACTAGTGCTTTTTTTCTGTTTCATAGCGTTCATTGTCTCTTTTCCAACCTTCTTTTGGCGGTATATGTTTATATACATTGGCGTGAACCTACGTGAGAAGCAAACGAAGGGGTCTCTATAATGCTGTTTCCGTCAAAACTTTTGGTCAAAAATTTTAAATTCATTTGCTTTCTGATTTTTGCCTGTGGATTAAAAATGGTCTTTTAACGTCCGTGAATTTTTTTAGACCAACAACAGTCAGCAGTTGTAGCGGTTCAACCGCGGGTTCTACCTCACCCGAAGAGACGACCTTAGTCAACGACATCAACAACCAGCAAACTGAGTTGGCGGAACACGCGAAGACTGATTCCAAATACGACTCACTAGAAAACATCCCGGAAGAAGACGAGGAGCCGTCTCAGAGTTCGCCGGAGGAAGATAGAGACGGCACTAATAGCACTACAGAGGAACCCGATTCAACAAAAGAGGGTCTATGCAATGACAGGAGTGAAGAGGAAGAGAAAACTGATGAAAGCCAATGCAATGAATATACTGCTGATGATTCTACCAGTTACTCCAATGGAGCTGCTGTAAATCAGAATCATGACGTAAGTTGCGTGAATTTCGAACCACCGATTTTTGGTTGGATTAGAAGTCCATCACGTTACTACGATGTAAGTTTTATGACAATCTGATGACCTTCTGTTAATACGTTTTTTTTTGTAAATTTATTCCTGAGAGGTCAAAATTAAGGACAAGATGGAGAATTAAACAGGATTATTTTAACTAATAAATTTACTTTTATTTAATTGTGCGCATATGTATCTTCAAAATGAAATCATCATTATACCTGGATAGAAAAGGCTGGCCCAATTTGAATGGGAGCTAACTCATTTGTTCGAGTAGTACAAATGTAATAGAGGGATCCCGACAAACTAAGAGGGTCCTTAATGTAAATTAAGTGCCTCAAATTGTTTAAGAGTAATGAACGTAGTGAAGACTCTTATAAAGGTGTTGGTGATTTTTTGTTTTTTTTAGGAAAATTTGTTGATGCTTCATTTTGATTTTTCGCGGTTTGACTTGATTGTTTGTAAAGTTCAGTTCATTTCTTTTGTTAAAAGAAAACCAGCTCCACTATCGAACAGCAAAAGTGTAAAGGTCACGAAAAACATGATCGACTTCTAGTTTCGAAAGTGGTATTTAATTATCAGATTTTCCAGCGAAATGAAAATTTTACCTATTAATCCACTTTTCAAATTTGGTCAATTTTATGAAATAATTGTCAATAATTATTTGTTGTAGAAATTACGAGAGCTTTAAAGCCATCTGTTTTTGGGGCCTTGGAAATTAGACGACAAGAAAATTAGACGACTGTAAAGAAACGGAATTTACGGACAACCAGTATTTACTCAGCCAAGAGTTAATTCAAGTCTGTAAACAAAATTCACGCAATTTGCACGCAAAATACTGTCTTAATTGGACAACCACTATTTACTCAGCCAAAAAATAATTTAAGTCTGTAAACAAGTTTCACGCAATTTGCACGCAAGTTATTGTCTAAATTCCGTTTTTTTCTGATCGTCTAATTTATTGTCGTCTAAGTTCCTAAACCCCTCTGTTTTTTATTCAAAAGCTGAGATTTTTTTAGAAAACAATTCAATGTTTCGTTTTCGAAACACTGATTTGTTTTCTCAAAACAATTCGTTTTTATTGATTCGGTGATGTCAATTAAATAATCGAGTAATTATGCGCAAATGAGGCAGGTTAACTACGATAGAGAAAAGGTTTTGAAAAAAGAGCGATTGATTTACTTGAGAGCTATTAGATTTACGTTTACCGCGAAAACTCGAGTGCGTTTTTCTCAAATTGAGTTCAGATTCAACAAAAATTGAAGAGAACAAAAGTGGCTTAGAATTTCAGTGGTGCAATTAAAGTGGCGCAAGTTTTCTCCAAAAATGGGTGGCTTTTTATTAATCAAAAACTTCGCTGAAACTAACAAGTTAAGTGATGAGAAATGGTAAAAAGAGCCTCTCACTAAGTCCAACAAAGTTTTAGCAAGGTAAACTTCCAAAAATTGCGTAAAACGTTTGAAATTTGTTTTTAAGCAAACGTTTCAAGTGCATTTTTCGATAAAGTAAAAAGCTACTCATTTTTGGAGTAAAGGTTTGGGTGAGAATTTGGAGAAAAAATTGCAACTCACAAATTCTTAGCAACTTTTGTTCTCTTCTTTTATTGTCTAATCGTAACCCAGAGAAAAACGCGTTATACATTTCAAATTTTGTTAGTTTTATCCGGATAATTTGAATCAGCACTGTATTGGTTTATTTAATTACTTGCTGTATTTACTTAAAAATAGTGTGATGTTGGAACCCTCTAACTCACTTGTATCGCGAGAGAAAGTTTCTTGCGTGATTGTATTTGGATTGTGTTGTGTCGTAGCCGGAAGTGTTGGCGGCACTGGGCTTGAACTTGCACCGGATAGACAAGGACGTGGCGAGGTGTGACCGCAACAACGTCTACTTCGCCGAGAAACACAACCTCGACAAACTCAGACGCATAATGTGCAGGTTAGATAGATGATCGCACAGTATTGATTGACCCACCAAAAGTGCTAAAAATATATTTATAAATAATCCTCGTGGTAATATAATATTTAATTATTAATTTTCTACGTTGAAGTCAGTCTTTTCTTGATCTGTTTTAGTTACGTGTGGGAGAATCTGGACGTGGGTTATGTGCAGGGCATGTGTGACATTGTAGCTCCGCTTCTAGTCATATTCGACGACGGTCAGTGCAGTTCACCTCTAAATGTGGGGGCGTAGCGATAAGCATGTGTGATCTTAGCGTTCTCTAGTTGCCTCTAGTTGGGGGGTTCGTTCAGACGAAAAAGAAAGTTTCAATCGATTGGCTAATTTTCGTATTTAGTCTGAAAAATCGCTTGATTTGTTACGGGAATCAGAACCATACAACCCCCCCCCCCCCCCCCAAAAAAAAATTGATTTAAGGGATAAAATACCGGTTTTTCAGTAATTGACTTCGAGGGCAAAATAAATTGATTTAATTAGTCAAAAAATCAATTGATTGATATTAAAAAACTAAATTGTGATTAATATTTTACGCTTCTCCAGGAGTATATTCAGCTCGCTTCTTTGAAATTTGAAGTATTTTATGCGGAACTAATTTTCAAAATGAATACATGCTTGGGGAGGACATTTACGGTAGGTCACTTGAAGAGTGGGGGTGGTGGAGATGGAGATGAGGTTTTACTGTTGATCCAGGAAATCAATTACATTTTTGGCGGAGTTAAACGCTATTTAAATGGCAAATTGGAGTGAACAAATTTTGAAATAATTAGCGATTCAGGTGCATCATTTAACATGGGCATGCTTATCGACACACATGCTAATAGGCAGTTCTCCGTTAAATGTACCCGCTCATATCGGTTGCGACAGTTTGAGCTTAATTAGCCCTTACTAAAAGTAATATGAAACAAAACTGACTTTTCTACAACAACGCAACATCAAAAACTTTTTTTTTCAGAAAAGTCAGAAGACATGTTTTTTTTGTTTTGAATTTTAAGAATTTATGAAAAATTAATTTTTGGAGCAAATTGTTTCACATGAGTGAGGTTTGAGTTGTGACTGAGAGGGGATACAAACAAGATGATGATCAAGATACTAAGTCAGGACACAAACCGAGATTTCTAGCTCATCATTTTTTCAAAAGTTTTATCGGAGGTTTTTTGCACTTTTTTTAAAAAAAAAAGCTTCTTAAATAGTAATTTCTGCATCGAGTTCAAAAAAGTGAAGCTCCTATTGGATTGCAGTGTGTTACTGAAAATCGTTTTTACATACTTAGGACAATCGGTTTTTCAGATTGCCTAATTTACGTATTTGTGTGACTGAAGTACGACAGCAAACGATCAAACCGTATATCGAAACTGGCTTTCCTCGTTCTTCGAATTTCAATATTTTTCCCTTTAGAAGATCCTTTAACTAGAAGAGCATCGCTCTTTAGTTTTGTGAGTTTTTCTAAACAGAAAGGATTTGGTTCATTCAAATGCAAAGTTTTACTTAATATTTTGCCAGAATATTTTGCCAGGATAGTTGAAACTTTTGGCGATTTATTAGAAATGTTTGTCTTAAAGTCTCAAACCCATAGACTGCCTTAATCAAATGGCACCGAAAAACGTAATATCTTCCATTAAATAGCTTGAATGCTTTTCAGAATGCCTTCATCTGAATGCTGGAATTTGTCAAGCTACACAGATATACCATTGCTTACGCACTTTCCGAATGTCCAACCCAGCCAAAATAGGAAAACGGACAACAAATGCATTAGTAGTAGTAGTAGTAATATTTGAGCTGTTTGATATTTCAATTATGATTGGATGAATATAACATTCCAACATTCGGTCTCTCGATAATAAGGTGTGCCACCAGAAGTTTTGCTATAACAGCAAAGCAATTTCTGAAAGTTACTTAGTTCTAAATGTCGCACCCGATTTTTATGCGTTTGCTTCCAGCATTATTAAGTTAACCTTGATTTTTTTTCTTGAAGGCTAGCTTAAAAAAATTCTTCCTCCATAGGGGCAATTAAGGTATCAACAATTGGTACTTTTTCTGCAAAAATAGTATCTTTTCTGCAAACGAAAGACTTTGGCCTTCAATTTCAATGACATCGTGGTTCTTGTAAATTTCCCTGTGAACAATGTACTTTCAAAAACACTGGTGACTTGCCCATTTGAGCTTCCGACTAAAGCGCTTTGTGAATACATTGTAATTGTAAAAAAAGCTTAGGTGTGATGCAACAATGCATAATCACAATTCATTATTAGTCATGAAATCCACACTGCCTTAATTGGTTCACACATCCGCCCCAAAGGTGTGTTCGTTTTCCGCCATCTTACCCGTATTGCTTTTATTGTAAGGTCTTTATTGAAAATTAACTTACCTTAGCGACCAGCCCCTGCTCCGCGCAATTCTGAAGTACCGCCATTTCTTCCACTATTTCTTTTTTACAGAAAAATGAGAGTCCCAACCTACGTGGATATAAGTTCAGCTCTGAATATTGGAATTTATTGATAACGGGAATATAATTTGAGATCGAACTGACCAATGAACCTGTAGCAGTAAAACAGTAATAGAAAGTTTACCAATTCGATTGTCAATGACTTAGCTCATTGAAAATGACAGTTAAACAGTAGCTGGTGTTTTTTTTGTTTCTGTAAATTATCAAGTTTTTTGTTGATATTTTATTGCAATTAGTCTATATATGAGTATGTGTTTGTGTTTTAGAGAGCAAGACGTATGCAGCCTTTTCACTGCTGATGGTTCGCATGCGAGAGAACTTCCCCCAGGGTAGGGCCATGGACCAGCACTTCTCCAACATGCGAGCACTGCTCCAGGTACAGCACACAGTATAAACTACCAACACCCCCCTCCCCTCCCCCCCCCCCCGGCGGGGTTTTGTTACAAGATACAAAATGCGCATACGCTTAATCAATTTTCCCCATCCTTTTTGTAAATGCCTTTTCCCCATCCACTAAGTTACATTTATTGTAAAGACATTTACCAATTCGAATATAATTTTAAAAGTAGAGGTTGTACAGCTGGTTCCATAGGAGGTGTTTTGAGCTGCAGATCCCATTGAGTTGGTCGTCTTCAGGTGTGAAATTTTGTTTAATCATCTACCAGAAGGGGGGCTGAGAAGGAATAGTTAACCAGATCCCACTTCAATATTTCTTGAATGAGTTTCGGCAGCTGTAGTCAATTGGATGGCGGCTCATTTCTCTTGAGTGCAAAATGAATAAGTGTCGATGAACGAAGTAAATTAATTTTCTGAGTTATAATTTTCAGAATTGCTAGCCGAAAAAAAGTTTTCTTTAATCGGGTTAATTATATGACTACCAACTGACTGTGGTTTTGTTTTTGATTTGGTATAATTTCTTGAGTTTTATTTTCCCCTTTATTCGGCTGGAATATTGCATCGGCCTGGTGGCCTCATTGGCCCTTTTTTGTCGGTTGGCTTTTTTTGTAAATATACCAACTCCGATTTAGTTTAATTGTGTTTAGTTTTTTGATTTTTCTGTTTATTCGGGTGGTAATTTTCCGGCTGATGTTATATCGGCTTAATAGCCTCATATTGCCGCGTTTGATGAGTGAAAAAAAAGCATTTTGAAGGGGGGAATTATTATTATTTTTTTATTTTAAATGAAAACGTTTCTTTAGCTCAAGGGTGTCTGCTCAAGTATTGTCGTTTTTTACCGCTTCCTTAGTTTTTTTTTGCTATGCTAATTAAAGACCGCTATTTACCTTATATGGTACTTTTTTTGAACATGAATTTCATTCAAGAGAAAGCGAGACCAACATAAATTTTATTAGATTAGGTTATTAGACTTGGTGCCTCTGTGAGCCGCAGCTATAAGAGATTTTAATCCCCATTAAAAGGTGAATTGGCAGATTTTGTTTGGATGAGGCGCTTTTGTTAGTCTGATCCGTATGTTAATTGTGTTCACAAGTGTGTGTGTGTTGTTGTGTAGATTCTCGACCCGCAGTTGTTTGAGCACATGCAGCAGCACGGGGACTACACTCACTTCTACTTCTGTTACAGATGGTTCCTCTTAGACTTCAAGAGGGAACTTAAGTACCATCAGGTAACACAGCAAACATAATAACCGAATTATTTATTACTTGCCACAGTTTCAACCTAAATAGCCATCAAAAATACGAAACAACTTTTTAAAAATCGATGAACATAGTTCAGACTTTCATATTCGGTGACGATCAATTTCGTGATGATTAAGTTTTTTTCCAGGATAATTCTTAAAATTTGTTCAGTCTCAAATATTATTTTTTGCAATTTGAATTTCAAGTTCAGTTCATTTCCTTTGTTAAACGGAAGGCAAACTCCACTATCGAACAGCAAAATTTTAAAAGTTACGGAAAACATGATCGACTTTAGTTTCGAAAATGGAATTTAATTTCAGATTTCCCAGCGAAATAAAAGTTTTGCCTATTGATCCAGTTTTCTCAAATTGGGTTAATTTTCTTTTTAAAAAAAGAGTCATTCATGAATTGTTCTGAAAATTGAAAGAGCTTCAAGACCATCGTTTTTTCTTTGAAATTTGAAAGCTGAGGTTTTCTTTTTAAAAAAATAAGTATCCTTGCAATTCCTTGCGTTCATTGACTCTTTTCCAACTGTCTGTTGGCTATTTTCTTAGATTAGAAAGCAACGTATAACATGGGTATGATGTTTTAACAAAAAGGACGACGCCATCACAACATTAAAGGGATCTCTTGCAAAAAAAGATGTATTCGGTACTAGGTGCAAAATCCGCATATACTTATTTGTTGAATTAATTCTTGTTCTTTATAGGAGTGGTTCTTTAACAGGTACGATAGGGGGTAATAGTTGGAGATCCCATTGAATCAATGCTTTATTTAGTGCAAATAAGTGGAAACTGATCCACCCGCTATGTCTGCTTAAGTTAGGCTTGGCCAGAACACCATTACAAGCATGGTAGTTGCATCCTTAACATCAATAGGAGTCAGTCACTGAAGAAGACAAAGAAACTGCCTATTACCCGAAATAGTCTCTAGTCCGTTCTTTTGTAAATGTTTAACGGATATGCTTACTCACCTTTTGAGAGAGAGATGAAGAGTGTTAACCGGGCGTTTTAGCCAATCAGATTGCAGGGCTTTTTAGCCAATCAGATTGCAGGAAGTTGGTCTTTTGAAGAAAACGGGCGCACTAATCGCGCACTTTAAGTGACATGTCAAACAAAGGTACGATTCTATAATACGTTGTTTTTAGAGTGTTTATCGAATAAGTTGATAAGGGGAATGGGGCGGAGATTGTTAAGTATCAAAATGGATTTTTTTCGAGTGTGGATTGCATAGAATGTACCATGAGGGGGAGATGGAGCAGATAGTTAAATAAGTAGATGGTGTTTAACCTCTCGCTTAGGTGTTTTGGCTGTGGGAGACTATCTGGGCCGCCTCCCGTCTCGGTCCCCCGGGGGGCACTGAGCACTTCGTCCTGTTCGTGGCACTCGCCCTCCTCAAAATGTATCGCAAGATCATCATCAACTACAAAATGGATTTCACAGATATCATCAAGTTCTTCAACGGTTTGTGTTTAATAACCTGATTTGTTTTCACGAATCTGTGAACTAAGTGAAGAATCTTGAATAGGTCGTGATGATTTGATTTCTTTTCGGGAAAAGTCTTAAAATTTGTATAGGCTCAAATTTACTTTTTCGCGGTTCGACTTTTGATTTCCAAAGTTCTGTTCATTTCCTTTGTTTAAAGGAAGGCAAACTGCACTATCGAACAGCAAAAGTGTTAAGGTCACGAAAAACGTGATCGACTTCTAATTTTGAAAGTGGAATTTAATTTTTAGATTTAGTAGCAGGATGACAAGTTTACCCATTTCTACTTTGCCGATCTAACTCGATGGATTCTTTTATCTACCTTTTAATCTCGTAATTGCAAGATTATTCATGGTGTTTCTTTTAAAGAAAATTTCCTACTTTTTTAGAAATGGCTGAATGTCACAACGTGGAAGATGTCCTCCTGATTGCACGAGATTTAGTCATGCAGCTCCATGCTATGCTGGAAAACAAATGAAAATGGACAAATTGAGAAAACATATTTACATTGTGTCAAACAGATTATCTATCCTAAGTTGAGAGTTCTAAATTTTGTATTTTGTCTGTAACTTTGAGAATTGTTTAAATAAGAATGCGAATATTATTACTTTTGATTAGAAATAAATGTTTAGCTAATAATGTGGTGCAATATTACTATTATTTTACATAGTTTAAATGTCAATATTTCTCCCTTTTGTTTCCATCTAAGAAGAAAAGGGTCACATCGTCATACATATCTCTAAAAGTTAAGGCAGGCTCACATATTTAGACGCAATTTTGTACGTCTTACTTGGTTATCCAGTAGCATCTCTCTTTGGTATTAGCTAAATCTATTTCAATGTGCAGCAAACTTTGCTGCCCGTTAGTTGTAACAACAAGTCTGTTGAAACAAAAATTTTTTAAAAATAATCAGAGATTGTGGCAGTTTATTTTTGTTTTTATTGGAAGGGTACTAATGAATACATTTTTAACGGTTTTAGACTAAAATTCTCGTTTTTTTATTGGTACAACCAGTTAATTTCTCTTTCATCTGGAAATAAACTGTTCATACTCAAACAAACTACAACAGATATCATAAAAGAAACATCTATGCAAGTTAAGTGGAGTCCATCGAGCGTGCGTCAAGAATTCTTTAATCAACACAATCCTTCGTCGGTCTCCGATATGATGAACGGGATCCACGGATACACATGATCTGAGAAGCGCAAATCCACGATGACATCGAATCTACCAAAGCACTGCACTATACGAAGTTACTTCTTTCTTCCCACTGATCATCGAAGGAAGTCTTTTTTAAAACATGGTAGCAAGTTTGCCCATGACACCCCACCCATGCACGAAAGAACAAGAGGTGTGAATGACCTTTGTTCACATTCTCTGATACATTGATTATAGCAACTCTTTTTCCACTTCGTGCTTCCTGTACATACTTGGCAGAGTACAAGAATTTGACTTTGCGCAAGGATAGAATACTCTTACATCAACGAATGCCGTCTCAAATCTGCCTCCCCAGACTCCATTGGCTTCGTCGCCACTTATTAATGTTCTCAAAGCCAAAAACTCGCAAGATAACGCTCTAATTGCGGTTTGACTTCAACGTTAGAGTAAACTTCAGTCAACATTTCCGCTGTTATGTCTCACTTCATTATGCCAAATAACTGGGAATCCGCCAGCAGAATAAGACAAGCAATGCTCAACCGAAAAAGTTTTTCCTCAAACACAGTGAGCAGGAACACCTTTCAGCGGCCTATTATATCGCAAGCATAATGCATCCCAAAACGCTGCTTTATTCAGGCAAAAACCATGTTTTTTTAACGGCAACGTTGTGAGCCAGTTTCATGCGCCTCTTTCGTTAGCCGGTTTAAATGCTCTTGAGTATGGAGTACTGGGTACTGGCGCGCCGTTCGTTCTCCTTCTGTATTTCAGTATAAAACAGTTTTTGTCCACTTGCAACTCCGTCTAAACCAGTATCGCTCGACAAAAGTTTCTCAACAAGAGGTTTACAAAGGCGCTCGGCGTCTTTGAATTTCTGAGCGGAGTCTGTATCTGGGTTGATGATGTTCAAAACGCCCAGTCTTGCCGGAAGCACTAGCACATATCTATCAATGCCTCCTGGTGATACTCTACCAATCAGCTTCGGCAAAAACTGCATTCTCATTTTGGTTTCGAGTTTGGTGGGACTACCTTTAATTTGATCTTGGCTACAGTCGATCACTCTCATGTGATCCCACTTCGGATTGAAATTATGCGTCAAGGCTGCCAAAGCACAGTGTGGCTGCGTCTCCGCGATCTGAGATAAACTCAAAGTTCACTTATTCATCTGACTTTATGAGTACATGTTTTCACTGACTTTTCTGCTGCCAATCGGGCATCCCAATTACTTGTGTCCCTCTGTTAAAATCATTATACCACTTCCAGAAAAAACACGCTCTGCGAAGTCCTAGTGTTCTTATGAAACAATAAGCTTAGTCTTGGATGAAATCGGAAATACATACTCCGGTCCGAGTTCTTTTTAACGCTTCCCACCATGACTTCAGTTGCTTAAGTTTTCCACCTGCATAAAGTCATCGGCTTACCAAAAATTTCAAGAAGGTCATGGAGTTGATTAATTAGAGGTAACAGAGCTATACCATACCTTCAGCCCCGCCCTGAGTGGTTCCTTTTTGCGACAAAAGCTCTTCTCCGTCTAATAACAAGTACTCAGGCTTTCTGTAAAGTTAGATGAGAAAGATAGATATAGCTGGGCACTCAACATACATGTTGAACAAAGCAAACTGTTTGTTGAACTCGTTAAACGCATTGCTAACATCAACCAGCAGCACTCCTTCAGTTTCCGACTTACTAAAATTAGACGAGAGCTGCAGCATCGGCGCTAGAAGGTCTTGCTGCTCCAAAAATGTTCAAAACACACCGGCGAATACATTCAGGTTTGAAACTATCAAAGAAAATAAGATGGAATGCTGCGTCTGATAAGTCTTGTTCCAAGGGTAAGACTGCTAACTTGGAGAGTTTTGGAGATACTGCTTGTTTATTTTTCAAGGGTTCGCTAACAGATAGTTTCACGGTGTACTCACATACATTTTTATCAACTTTTTCTCTTCTGTGAGATCATCTTATTTCACAACCCCAGCTTCTTGCCCATTGAGAAATCGCATAGCACTTGTAGTTTTTTCTTTCACCTTGAGCTTAGAGAACGAGCGATTAAGACTCTCTTCAGGAATTTTGTTTCTCACTAGACACAGTTTACTTTGAACAGCCCTAACTTCTAATCACCACTTTTCCAAAGTTCTTTTCTGCGTTTGAGATGTAGAATATGCTCTTTGACTTCGCTCTTTCTGGATGTTTTCTGAAGAAGAATGGCTGTCATGAACATTGATAGCAATGGTTTCATTACAAGATTTCCCAGAAAATGCAAAAAACCAGTCTACCAATTCTTCACTTGAAACTAATTTGGTTTCCATTGCACCGCTTCCTCATTCATTTCATCGATGACTTCACACATTTCTACGCGTTTGGTTCCATGTCAAATAAAATCAGCTTTTGAAGGCAAGGGAATGTAACCTGGCAATTTACGACGTGACATATCTGGAGCATCTGACAAAGACACATTACATTGCCCATGCTCTGAGCCGAACTACTGTGCATACTATGATGCTCGACGTCAAGAAGCCCAGTGGACCGGTTCTTTTGTTGTGAACAATTCTGTGAAGAGTCTGTTGTTGACAAGTTATGCATTGGCTGTGTCAAAGCAGTCAATATCGTCGATCTCTTCTGTACCATCAGTCTCACGAGTGAATCCAAAGTAGGTCTTTTCCCCATCACCCTACAGTGATTTCAACTACAGGCCAAAAATCAAGTTGTTTTAACCATAACAATCTTGAAAACTCAAACATTTGTTGTCACGAAATGTTTGAAGTGAGACAAAAACAAATTGAAAATTACAGAGCACAAATTTAGCGTATCTTTTTAGAGTCAACTTCACTGGCAGACAGACGTGCGCAATTTTGAGTTCAAAAAGTTCTAAAGATTTACTTGAAATTGTTTGTCCGGCAGCATTGCGCTATCTAACCAATTAATGGAGTCTCAAAACTTTGTTCTTATTTCCTTCACAACCTATCAGCTAACTATTCTTTCAGAATAGCGGCAACAGTCAACAAAATCACTCAGGCACGCAGTCCTTTGATACTGAAAAATAAAATTTGATAATTTCAAAAATGGTGAGAATTTAGTTTTGGTTTTTCGATCCATTTGGCGGTATGATAGTGTGTCCATTTGGAAATCTTGTACAATTAATTTATTATGAACATGCAAATGTCAAAATTCTATGAGCTGAATATAGTATATATAACTTTTTTCTGAAACTCGACCTTACTTGCACTAAAAAAGTGAAAATTTTACCTTTTTCTAGTCCATAATGGGCAGTTCTTGCACGATGGCTTAAGTTTTTTTCAAATGAGTGGAATGCACGCACTTTTGGCTGCTTTTTCAGCAAGAACTTCTTCACCTATTATTGTTCCTAGAGCTAAAATTTTGCAAACCCTTTTAAACAAACTTGTGTGAAGAAATTTTGCTTAACTCATTTTAGCAACGCTGATAATTGTTTTTTTTTGTTATGTAAAAAATTCACTAGGTAGAATCGTCTGAGTGAGTTTTTATGTCTCACTGGCGCATGCAAAATTTTATTTGAAGCAATAACTGTTTCTAGTTTTTTTTGGAAAAAAAACATTAACTTTTTTTGTATCAAAATAATTCACTGTTGCTGTGCTGATAAGGGGCCGCTGAAACATTTCAACCCAACAATTTTATTGGTTTGGGTTGACAGCGCAACGTTCACTGAAAACTTGTGGGTCTTTGGCTTTCTGCTCGCCGTTTTAATTGACATAGCGTAAATATCATGCATTTGTGGTAGCAAAACATAGATTTTAAAAAAATCAGCACAAAATGTGTTTTTTGTTGTTTTCATTGACTGAATAGGTTTTAGCGAAGTCAATATTGGCTGACTTGCTATTATTGCAGAATATTTTGTAAAATATTTACTTCAAGTTTGGTCGCAGATGGTCGAAGTGGTTACTTCTATAGCAACGGATGGAACTTAGTAAAACAATTGATTATGTGGTTAGTTATATCGTGTTGAAATCCACCAAAGTGAATTTACTCAATCCTACACTTCGATCGACTGAAAAAAAAAACATTTTCGTCGCTGCTAAATACCTAAGAAAAAAGACAACGGGAAGCTAGTAGAAAACCAAGATCCGCCCCCAAGGCTTTAGTGATAAGTGGTTAAAGAATCTTAGTTGAGAGGTTCCAATTCAACTCACGTAGTTGCATAATTTTTGTGGCTGAAGTTGATTTTTATCATGCCTTTTTTGCTTTTTTGCTTCTATTTACCTGGTTTGCAGCTCTTCTAACCAAAATGTTTTTTAAATTGAAGTTTTGCCTCTGCGGAATTGAAAGTTTCAGGTTTAGCTCGCTCAGTATTGTTTTTTATTTATCTATTGAATCATTTGCAGGAACTGTGTTGCTAATTTTGAAAGAATCTCTGGTTCATATAAAATATCTAGCTGATTTATTCTTTTCGTGGGGGTTTTCAAAATGGAAGTTGGTATATTAGTTTTTTCCAAAAAAAATGAACAAAATATGATTGTGAACAAGGAATTTGCACAAGAAAAAGATGCCAAGGATTTTACTTACCAATAACTTTATTTGTTTTTTTTGTAAAATTAGGCGTTGAAAAATTGCGTTTTTTGATTACTGGAACACTTCGAACAGTTTTGCGGCCCTGCGGTATGTTAATTTATCAACTTATTAGGACATTTATAGCACATTTTGTTTTTCAAAAAAAGTTTTCCTGCGGAACAATTTGAGTTCTCAAATTAAGATCTTTTTGGTCTTTTAATGTCAAATAAAAGAATAAAGTACCGCTCGCGGATTGCAAGTGATTTCCTAAAAACTGAACACTAATGATTTCTTTTTTGAACTAGACAAAATCAATTTTTCACATTTCACTTCAAATAAATTTTTTCCTGTACCCATTTTCCCAATATCTTAGCTTCAAGACAACAGTGACGTGCGCATAAATTTTTCTAAAAGGGGAGCAGTTTTTCTAAAAACCTTGAAATTTTGCGGACTTTTCCTTTATTTTAGGTCTTTTTCAAAAAACAGCGAATTTGGGCACTTTTTGTACAATTTTGACAAGAAATGCGTTTTTTGGCACAGGTTTCCCCTCAAAATTAGTTATATTGGCGCCCAAAGCGCCTTTAGAAAAGTTTTGAGGTTGGTCAGCCAAAATCGGTGTCGCAAAGTTATACCAAATGGAGACCCTTTGGAAAAATTTGGCAACCAGAATTGAGGGGGGGGGGGCATAAAATTTCTCCAAAATGCCAGATTTAAGTGTATTGACCAAGCACTTGTATTGTTGTATACATTTTTTTGCATGTTGCACAGTTGAAATGGTGCCATATATTTTCATCATTGATTTCGTATTTTGAAATAGAAATTTTAGTTATTGTTCCGACTTTCGTAACAAAAGTAACGGAATATTTGTGCTCGTAGGTTTTTTTTCTTCAGAGAAATTTCGATTTTGTAACAAGCCATTTTTGACGGATTTTATTTAGTCATTTGAAAGTTATTGTTGTCCTGAGCTTGAAGTTGAAAAAGTATTTCACCTGTGATTTTTTTTCGTTAAGTTATGCGGGTTTAAAGATTGCCATTCTGGCCAATTTGTGACAAATGACTCGCGATATAATTCACGCTATTTAATTCGTCTTAAAAACTGTTCCAAATTGGTTAAAAGAAGCTTATTCTCCATAATTGATTTGTTACTAGTAGCAAAATCTATCACTTTGTACTTTAAAAAAAAAACTCAGAGAATAAGATACTGTTTTAATCAATCAAAACCAAGATAATTTGTTAATCGAGCTATCACATTCAATTGATACAAAACTCAGTTTAAAAACACTTGATAGTGACAAAACTTCAGTTCATTGCAGAATCTGGCAATATAAAAAAAGGTCCAAAGAGGATTGTTTTTGTTAAGCATAGCTTGAGCGGACACTAGAAACAGTATCGGACACTTTTCAAATCGAGTACCAGAATCCGGAAAACAAAAACTAACCAAAATCAAACCTGAGCTCAATTTTATGGCTGATACGACAAAAACTTCTGTTGAAGCTAATGAGTAATATGAACCAGGCATCGAAAACATCAGAAAAAAATAGTAATCATATATTCAGTGGTAGTGACGAAAAACATCATCTCAATTTACAATTAACAAGCCGAGCCTATAAGTAAAAAAACAGTGCATCCTCTAAAGAAAAATTATTTGTAAGGGGGATGATTTTCACAAAAAAAAATCTAATTTAGATTTTTTTTTTTCATTTTATTTTATTACATTAATTTTTTAAAATTTTATTACTGCTCCATAGACCCTAAAAGGCAGCTGAACATTCAGGGCTTTGCACTGATACAAGCAGTATTGTTGAAATTGCATGCGATTGGGGGCTGAAGTTTTAGATCTTGAATAGTAAGTACCAAATATGTCCTTCTCGTTATGAAAGGATCAATATTATTCCTACTTCTGCCCCTGCCAAAGGTGAGGTTTTTCATGAGTGCGGTTTTTCGCGAAGCTTTTCATATCATAGATCCTGTGCAAAAAGGAGAAACTACTTCAACAACTTCAACAACTCATAGATTAGAAAATCTTGGGACATTTTCCTTCATTTCGCAAACGGCTGAAAATTGTTTTTACAAGCTCCCAAACCAATCAAAAAGTAAAACTTTTAAATTTTTGCCAATACAATGTTTGTGAAGCAGATCATACATAAATTAGGAACAAAGAAGGTTGTCTTTTTGTTGAAAACATTGATTGATTAAATATGTTTCAATTCGCCATGTCCATATCGAAAACAGTTTCCAGTTCAAGTTAAATAGAGTCACAGTTCATTTTTCTCGTCGAGTGTCGAAAATATCAAAATAAGTTTTTGCTGAAGTACAAATTGGGCCAACAGTCATGTTCCTTCTTTCGTGACTGAGGCGTCCCCCCTTCTAGGCTTGTTTTTCCTGCTCAATGGCTGAAACAATTACACAAATTACTTTTGGGGAGCTTGGTTGGGCTTAAGTACTTAGATATTTCAGGTATACAACTTTATTCACTATCATATTACATTGCATCCATGAGGGAAAAGACCGACATACGAGCTGTTCAACTTTATCGACTAACATCAATCAATTATATGCTTGGTGTGTAACTAGTTATACAGGGCTGTGATCAAAGATATATTGGGTTACGAGTTAACATCGCCGCGACTTTGAAAGTAGTGTGAAAACAAATCGCGCACCCCGGCCAGGGAAGAGGCATACTATGGGTCCGAGTGAACAATCTCACCCCTTAAATCATTTTCTGAGAGAGATTGTTCAGATTGATCTATTAAGGGGGGAGATTGTGCACATGGGCCAGGCCATACTCTGTGAGGTGAAATGGAGTGTGTGTCTATGGAGTGCTTACTCTCTTTGGTGGGGAGGGGGTTCTTCTCCGCCGTCTCTGTGTGTTTCAGCTTGCTCTTGTCGAAGGTGCTCACTTCACTGATGTCTGGCTTGTCTCCCATTGCTGCTTCTTTTTCAATCTGTGTTGAACTAGCAAATGATTTGGATAGTCGTTGTCAACGAAATTTTACCTGAAAATAGAAAAGCACGATGAAAAAACTCGAAAAATATCAGCAAAATAAAGTTAAGAGTTTTTTCAACCTCCTGATTTAAATTTTTTTATATTTTTGCAAAAAAGTACAATATATAATTTTTGAAAACCACAAAATTGGCGTTGGACCAAGTTAGCAGTTGGTGTTGTTGGATCAATTTGAGCACTGGACTGGAGGATCTTAACTTGATCTATTTGGGGGAGGATGTTAACTTGATCGTTGGTGTTGTAGTCCAGAGCCATTTTTACCTAATTGATTCTGTGTTATCAGTTATCATTGGTTGTAGAGGGCAAAGTGTCAACTGGTTATAGTTTTGATTACAAGACAAAATTTAAAGCCCCTTGACCACCCCCCCCCCCCTCCCCAACCAAAGTTTTTAGAGTACGAACAGTTAAAAGCGGACTATTTTAGAGCTTAAATTAGTTTTTCAAATTAGATGTGATATTTTTTTTTACTAAAAAAAAACACTTTTTTAACCAAAAAAGAACTTTATTATACTCTACTTACTTCAAGTAAGTGGCAAATTAAAATGAACGCTTTAACAGACCTTGCAGTTAAAGCGTGCTGCTTAAACGCACCAATTCAGTTATTGATTTTTTTTCTGTTGTAAAATTGCGTTGGTAGCGTGTTGCAAAAACGCAAGTAAACCGCGTTCGAACATAAGCAAAAAGTAAGTTTTGTAATCTAAGTTTGCAATTAGAAAAGGCAAATTAAAAAAAATCTTTTCGGTGCATTTTAATCATGTTACTTTTTTCACCTTTTAAGCTTTTGAAAACCAAATATCTAATATAAAAACGGCGCTTGAAGATGCCAATATTCAAAGCTGCGATAATTAAAAATACCCATTTTCGTTACTGCGACGAAAAACTTATCTGAAGAAAAATCTTGATAAACACGTCAGTTTTTAATTTTAGTTTAGCAAAAGATTAGTTGGCTACTTATTTTAAACTTACCAATTGCAACGAGACCAAATTACAAAATGAAAGCTAGAAAATAGATCTAATATTGACTAATCCTGTGAGCTTAGTCATTAAATAATTGATATATGGTTCTAAACGCAACTTAGAAATAGGTAACAAAATATTAAGAAAGACTACTTTGAGATCGGGCTTGAAATAGAAATTTCATTTAGCCGCTCTGTTTCTTAACCGAAATTTATGCAGTATGCAGCTGAAAGCCAAATTATTGGCAATATTGGTTTAATCGGTCAAAAAAACTACTTTTTAGATCAGTTATAATTTGTTGACAGTTTTCGCGCGCTGCAATGAGTAAAAAATTTATTTCTGAGTAAAAAATTTTGAAAGCAAAAGCTACTTTTTCAGACAGATTTCATATCTCATTGTTTTTTTTTAAATGGAAAATAGATGCAAAACTTTGTCAAAATTGTCTTAATTTTTTACAACTCTCTATGTAAGACTCAAATAACTTGCGTAAAAACTCGATAAAAATCAACAAGATGTCATTTCACTTTTTCGGCTGGTTGAAATTTCGGCGTTGTTGATTAATCGGTTTGACAGCTCGATTTATTTTGTTTACATGAAATGTCTACGAACCCCAAGAGCTTCGGGTATTTTCCACCAACCAACTGAAAATGGGGGCAGTAAATTATTACGTAACTTGAAGTGACTGTTCGCTCGGTGCTGGGTGTTTGCCTACGTTAAGGTAAATGGGACACTTTGTTTAATCGGAATGTTTTATGAAGCTATGAATCGGGTGGCACGGCCTTTAAACCTTGAAAGCTGTTTTGTAAATTCATTTACCCTCTGATTTCTAATCTCAGAATGCGATAAGGTGAAATATCCTATTTACATGCTTTCACTTAATTTAAACAGTTGGCCTTAAAGGACTAAAAAATTGCAAAGAAGACAACTTGAATCTTTTTGAGAAGAAATTTAAACTAAAATCTTGCTTTCGAGGAAAGTTTGCGGGTAATTTTGTTTATGGGCGGATTTTCGAAAAAAAGCTTGAAAATTTGTCCCATTTAAAAATCGTCGGCCAAACTGCTTCGAGGTCTCTCGAAACACTATAAAAGCCCTAATTTGTCTGCAAAAAAATCAGCGCCACAGCCAAGTTTTTGAAGGACACACACTATTTTGAAGCTTAGAAAAAAATGAAAACCAATTGTGATGTTTGCCAAAAAATAGCTTTTTTATACTCAACTTACTTTAAGTGTGTGGCAAAACGAAAATGAATGTTTTAACCAACCATGACAGCCAAAGCGTGCTGTTCAAACGCGCCAGTTGATATATTGAAGTTTTGCAGTTGCAAAAATAAGCTGCTGGTTTACTGCAAAGTGCTAGTAAAACAATTTCAAATTTACAAGCAGAAATAAGTTTTTGTAAGCTAAGTTTGAAATAGATTTAAAATTTGCTTTTTTTCTTTGGGGTGCTTTTTTGCTTAGCAGTTCCATGAAATATTCCACACCTACAAAGGCATGGCCGTTTGGTCGCTGTACTTTGCTAAATCAATCCATTTTAAATTGGTTACACAATTAAAGTGGAAAACTGTTCTGCGACGAATTGTCGCTTTTTCAGATTCAACAAATTGTTGCCTGATTTTTTTGTGTCGACCCTTTGTTTTTTTTAGGTCGACCAAATTGATTTTCCGAGCTCTCCCAAAACACTACTAAGAGCCTGTTTTCGTTAAAATTTCTGCGCCAAAAATTTTCGCCAAAAAAACAGGTTCCAATGTTTAGGCACTTTTTGGAAAATTTTGACCAAAAAATCGCGTTTTTTTCAGCGCGCGCACCCCCCTCAAAACTAGTATATATTGGTGCCGAAGGCGCCTTTAGAAAATTTAACGGTTTGTAGGTCCAACATTGGATGTCGCAAAATATTACCGAAGGGGGTGGCGAAGGTTTCATTGAGTCCCTGAATCGGATGAGGCGTCCGCCTCCCCCTGAATCCGCATTTGCAGAAACCGTTCTTTTTCGTTAAGCGAAAGTTATTTAGAGACATAGAAGCGAATATGGTTTTAATCTTCAAATTTGAAAATACAGTTTATGCTATAAGTATCATCCCTTAAACTCTAACTGGGATAATTAAATTGCATCTTTTCCCAAAACCCGGAAATCCTTGGCTAAAAGCTTTGAAACTTGATTTAATTATTCTACAGGCCAGGGTAATGACATTGCAACTCATTCATATTCCAAAGCTTTATAATGCCTGGGGTAAGGAAGTTAATGCTCTTTTCAAACTTCTACAGCCCTGAAACAACGCAAAGGCAATTATTTTAAAAAATCTGAAAAACCAGCCCTCGGGAAAAAAACATTGCGGTTTTTTCTATAACACTAGATCCTGGGGATAAAGAAGTTGCAAGTTTTTCCAAATTTTTACAACTTGAAGTAATAATGTTGCAATTTTTTGTAAACTCAACAGCCCTGAGATAATGAAATACTGCTGCCCTGGGCTTACAAAACTTCAACTCTACCCAAATATCTACAAGCCTGATGTAAATAAAGTTTCAACTCAAAGCTTTCAACAAACAACGTTACTTTTTTCACTTGTATGTCGTTTTGTCTGCAGCTATGTAAGATACAGGGTTGAGACTTGACATATGTTTGATGAAACAGCGTCTTCAGATTATCGAACTACTCCCTCCAACAGGAGTTAAAACCTATTGCAATAATTTGGTAATCTGGAGTACAAAAGAGCAACTGTTTCGATGAAATTTCAACTCTTCCCAACATCCACACCTCTGATGCAAGAAAACGTTTCAACTCATTTTATCACACAAATAACTCTAATTTATTCAATTGTATGACGTTTTTTCTGCATCTATATAGGAAATAGTGTTATTTTTTGACACATATTTAAAGAAACATGATCTTCTGTTAGAGGCACTAGTTCGATTATATGGAGTAAAAACCAATTGCAGTAGTTTGGTAGTCTATGATCAACTTTTTTGAAGAAGTTTCAACATTTCTTAATTTCTACACCTTTATGTAAGAAAATGCTTCACTTTACTGTTTTCTTTTTCACTTGTATGTTGTTTTTTTTCTGTCACTATATAGGATACAGGGTTAAAATTTGACATATGTTTGATGAAACAGTATCTTCTGTTGCAAGCATTAAATCGACAATCTCATTTAAAAACCTATTGCAATAAAGTGGTAGTCTGATGTACAAAAAAGCAACTTTTTCAAGGAAGTCTCGACTCTTCCCAAATTTCTACACCTCGATAAAAGAAAATGATAAAAGTCACGATAAAAGAAAAAGTTGCAACTTATTGTTATCACCAAAAGAACTCTAATTTGTTCAACTGTATATCGTGTTTTCTGCAGCTAGAAATACACAGGAATTTAGTTTGACATCTGCTTGATAAAAACAGTATCTTCTGTTAGAGACAGTACTTCGATAATCTGGAGTAAAAAAATGTTGCAAAAGCTTAGTAGTCTGCAGTACAAAAGAGGAACTTTTTCGACGAAGTTGCAACTCTTCCCATTATCTACTCCTTTGATGCAAGAAAAGATTTCAACTCATTGTTATCACACAAACAACTCTAATTTATTCAATTGTATGACGTTTTTTCTGCAACTATATAGGAAGTAGTGTTATTATTTGACTTATATTTGATGAAACGGTATCTTCTGTTAGAGGCAGTATTTCGATAATCTGGAGTAAAAACCTTTTGCAATAGCTTTGTAGTCTGGTGTACGAAAGAGCAATTTTTTTGATGAAATTTCAACATTTCTAAATTTCTACACCTTGATATAAGAAAATGTTTCATATTAATGTTATCACACGAACAATTCTATTTTTTCCCTTTGTATGCTGTTTTTTTTGTCTGTCGCTATAAAGGATACAGGGTTAAAAATTAACATATGTTTCATGAAACAGTATCTTATGTTTTAGGCATTAGTCTCATTTAAAAACCTATTGCAATAATTTGGTAGTCTGGTATACAAAAAAGTAACTTTTTGAGGAAGTCTCAACTCTTCCTAAATGTCTACACCTCGATAAAAG